TTATGAGGCTTATAAAGAATTATCCTGTAGCAATTTCAGCTATATGGTTTCTATGAAACCCTGGAATAAATGGATTTATTTAAGATGTGTTGAGGGTTTTTTCTTTTTTTCTTTTCCTTTTTCTTTTTATTTTTTTTTGAACTGCTGTCTATTTTTAGCACTGCTGCCTGCTTCTCCGTGGTGCTGCTTTAACTCTTTTGTGGACGTGCCGATGTGTTGTCTGGCGAACGTTTGCAGTGCCTGGGCCTGCTGCACTCTCCTGCGAGGACAGAGGAGGACTTTGAAGTCTCGATGCCGCGGACAGAGAGAGAGATTTGAGAACCCTGGCTTAGGAGCGCAGCACTGTTTTGATGGGATAACATGAGTCTTCGCTTCTGTCTTTACTGTACCTCAGTGGCCTTTGAAAGCAGCTCCACAGGAGCATTTTCACTTGTTCTGGGACACCCAGTATAATCATTCTCAGAGAAAAAGGTAGTGATGCTTTGTCTGAGCTCAGGAACTTTTGTCGGAGACCAAGACAAAAATGTTGCCTATGACAAGTTATCGGGTTCAATGCAGAGGTAACTGGGTGACGCGCAAAGACCTGTGTTAGGCAGAAAGCCAGGCTGGACGATTTAACCAATCCTTCTGACCTAAGCCTCTGTGCAACTATGAACTAAAAAGACAGTTAAAATCCCGACTTAGAAGAAGATCACAGTGTGCACAGAAAGCTGTATAGCTGCAGAGGGGTAGAAAATATATTTGTGCTGTAACAGCTGCCTATTTCGCAATACCTTGTCAATTAATAGCTCATCATCATCTTTTATGGGTAAATTCTTTTCATCTCCTAGGCCATTAGACTTTTCAAGCTACAGTTTCATTAATCTTTTGTTTTGAAACGTACCTGGGATATAGATCCTGTTCCTTTTCCCCTCTGGTAAACACTAATTTATTTTGAATTTATTTGCATCCTGTTGTGAAGAAATTTTGGAACCATAGCATTTTAAAAATCAATGACTCACTGGGTTTCTAATTTCCAGGTAATATCCCTAAACAAAATGTACTGCTACATAGCACTGAGATTTAGAGCAAATAATGACTTCTAACCAACAGCTTGCTAATATTTTTAGAAGAATGAATGATGTAGGAGAGGATAAGCGTTTTTACAGTGTTTCTTTTTTTTCAATAGCTCTAAAAGGACTTTAGGGGGACAGTCAGGACCAAAAGGAATAATTCTGTGTTTGATGCATTCTTACTGGTATCTCAGTCTTAAGAGAATGACACTAACGCCGCCCTGCAGATCTGTGGCTGGTATAAAATGGCATCTTCTCCCCAGGCATCAGTGGAGCTGTGCTGGTTTATATGAGGTTGGGGCACACCTCCGGCACACGCAGCATTTCTACCGTACCTCACACGGAATTTGATTTACTCTGACTCATGACTGAAATATAGCTGTGTTTAAAGCAGGCAAGAAATGATAAAGTACTTACTATTTATAGAGTCAGAGCTACTTTTTAGAGCCAACTGAGCAATTCCCCAGTGTGACCACAATACAAAGACTTTAATATTTTAGTGCTCTGCAACGCTGTAAATTTGTTGTAGCTGGACACGCAGCCACAGCACAAATCTGAAAAATGCTTACCTGGACAAGGGCATTAACGCAAACAGGCTGTACAGGTTTGCATGCACCATCTCTTGCTCCAGTCTGCAATGAAGGGAGAATGGCTAAGGCGAAGCCACGAAGGACGCTGCGTCCATATGCCGCATGGGGTGCCGTGGCACAGTGCGGCAGGTGACTGTGATCATTGCCTTTGCACGTGCTGGAGCATCTACTTCGACCTTTGCACGGAAAGAACAATTAATGGTTAACATGTTAATGGCACATGGGCTTTTGTAGTAGTCATTCTGAGATACCCCCGATACTCAAACCATGCCAATTAAAGTACTGCCAACAGACTCTGCTGGCTGTGCTCTGGCTAAAGTTTCTTTTATTCCTGGGCTGCAAATTTAGTGCAATAGTTCACTTTTAAATCTCATATTTCCTCCTCAGTAGTATTTTCACATGGGAATGCTCCATGCTAAGGCTTGAATTGCATTCCGGTCACATGGCTTGTCTGACAATGGAGGTGGCTCAGGACACTTAGGCTTGCTGCTGTGGCCTTGGAAATACGAGATGGGGTGCTTATTTGTCCTTTAAAGTGTATAGCAGTGGCTGTCACTGGCCCTGTGTTACTGCTGTAGCTGAATTCATGGTTATAGCTTTTTAGCTCCAGTTCATTGGGGCAGTAAGGAAAGGACAATAAAAGCAGTTGTGGCATCTCTGTAACCACTCTCTTCTTCCACCTCACAGTGATTGTTGTGCTTATGGTTTCTGAAGGTTTTCAGAACTGAGTGTCCTTCTGTATGTGCACCCAGACAGTGCTGCTCCAAGCCAACACTTGCTGCACTGAACAGTGTGAGGAAAATAACATTTTCATGCAGTTGCCATACCTGGGAAAAACTTTCCACAGCCACTGCAGAGAAGAGGAAGTGGTCTGATCCGTTCCTACCCTCTCTGAACTGCTTATTAAATCTTCTTGTCATGTCCTCAGGGATGCAACATATTGAGAGGAAAATAACGTGGAAATTGTATAATATTTGCTGTGGCTTTGGATTCCTCTGAGCTAAATCGAAACACTGGGTAAGCCACTTCTGAAGAAAAGGCAGATGCTCTTGAAAATCTCACTCATTGCAGAAAGCCCAAGGGATTGGGCTGTGTACCATAAAGCTCTTGGAAAAGCTATGACACGCATGCATTTATTGCTGTCAAACCAGCACTTACAGGTGGCAAAGGAGTATGCTGCCTGCTCTGAAGACCCTCATGTAGCACAGGAGGCATGTTGTTGCCATTGCAGAAGGCTGCGTTGCACATTCTGAGGCTAGAGAAGCCTTGAGGATCAGTCAGAAGGAGCTAAGCTTACCAGGTTATGTGTGGAGAGCACATCTCCAGAGCAGGTCGTGTCATACGCAGAGCCCCAGAGCGCAGTGGGGAACCTTATGAGGGGAGCTGCTGGACCAGAGCACCCTGGGGAAATGTCCTCCCCAAGGGAAGAGATTTGGCTGGGGCCTTTTCTCAGCTGAGATCTCCTCTGCCATGGAGAGGACAGAGCAGGAGTGTGATTTGAGTGATGGCCATCCCAAAGGTAAAGAAATCGGACCATAGTTACCAGAAAGCAGGAAAGAATAAGTTCAGAAAGGGCTGATGGGCTCTGGGGCTGGGTTTTTGTTCCATTTAATGAAGAGCTCTTTGGTTCACACAGTGTAGATCAGGGAAGAAAAAGAAGTCTAGTTTCCGCATGACAATAATTAGTTTCCTCCAGTGCTGCAGTTTTTCAACGTGACTGAAGACTAGCTATCCTACCTCAGACCCTGGATCCGTCCAGCCCTCTCTCCAATAGTGGTCAAAAGCAATTCTTGGGGAAGAGTATAAGAAGAGGACAGATGTGTAATGATATTTACTTAGCTACCTTCTCAGACGCTATTTATTGTGGCTCAGGGATTTCCTGAGCCAGAGGCTTTTGTTTTCCACAGCCCCTGATGGAGCTCTCATCTATGGATTTGTCCACTCACTTCTTAAATCCCTTAAGGTTTAGCATCCACAGATCTGCAGGGCAAGGAGCTGGGCAGGTTAACTGTATGCTACTGCAAGTAATGTCTCGTCTTGTGTGTTTTGAACCTCCTGTCCAGTTTCCCTTGATGCTCCTTCATTCCTGTACTGAAAGAGGCAGTGAGCAAGTGCCAGGCAAACACAAGATAAACTGACAGTCTCTGACCCCAGGTGCTTACAGGCTACCTTGCAGACCAGCTGTAAGAGGTACATGAAATAAATAAGGGGTATGGAAAAGGAGTCAGAAGCCTTGACTTCAACATACTGCTGCATAGGCTAACTGTGCCTGGAGGGTAACATGCCACCTCTGCAGGCATTAGCAAAGGAAGGATGCTTCCCGCAGCGTAAGAGTAGCTCTGCTGGGCCACTTCACTCTCCTATGAAAATATCTCTCTTTCCTCAGCTGA